GATACTGGACATAGTGGTGACCTAATGCTTTTAAAGAAATATGAATGTGCAAGCTACTTGCTAAAATGCTCACAAATAAGAGAAGAAGGGTTCTCTTGCTTATTACACAGTAAATACCAAATACACCTTGTTTCTAGGTGGGACCTGGCTGTGGTCAGTATTCCCAGCATGCTTCCAGCCTTACACAAACCAAGAATGGACCTCCACCTTCCTCATCACACCCCAGTGAAAGTCATAGGGAATTTCACTAAGATACAAGGTAACGAACTTCAGGGCGCTGTGGGGAGCAGCTGTCTCCCACTGAGCCGGAGGTCTGGAGATCCTTGGGACCAGAACAAGGCCAGCGCAGCAGGTATCTGAACTTGGGGCTCCTCCATGCTGGCTGTAGCTTAGATGGCTCTAAGAATGTTTTACTTTCAGTGTCCTCTGTAAGGCAATGAGAACTTGCACTTTTTGGTTTGGGGTGGGGCTGTTCATTTTATTTTATTACATAAAAAAGGAAAAATGGAGATTTTTTTTTTCCAAATGACCTAGCCAAAGTAGTTTGCAGTATGTGTTATGAACTCATTCACAGAGGAACCTATATATTTTAGAGCCAAGTCATCTAAAAATAACTTATTTCATTAATTCTGGGACATTTTCTCAGTCTTTTTGCTAAGAATCCAATTAATATGTGATACTTTTATATTTTTAAAATCTATTTAAGAAAATTAAAGATCAGAAAAAATTATAAAAGTTGTTAAAATGTTTTTGTATTTTTGACTCTGTTGCACCCTTTCCCCCTTTTCACTATGCATAAATCAAGGTGCGGATCTCACTGGACTGCTGCCACCTCCCAGTTAGAGAAGTCAGATCATGCCCGGTCCCAGCTTTCCTTTCAGTACATGTCTAGGTTTTTCTTAATCTTTCATCACTCCTTCTCAGGATCTTGCTGCTGCACAGGTCATGGTGGGCCACAAAGGATTTCCTTTGGCAACAGATACAAACAAACATGGTCTTGGCTAAGTAAACCAAGGAGGTACCAATGCTTGAGCTTTGGTGAGCCCTTGATTCTGCAGTTGGACAAATTCAAAAAGACTTTGCTGAAAGGCTTGATTACGTATGCGCAGACATCGGTATTTTCCTGATAGGTGAGAGATTTCATGCATGGAAACCATCTTCTTCCCATTATACACATGCTAAACCACATTTTATGACCACATTAATATGAAGACAGAAAAATGTACGATTGTTCTAAATATTTGTTATATGTGGAAAATAAAGTTAAGACATTTTATAATAAAAATCACATTTCAAATGGAAGCTATGGTTTTCAACTTCGATTTTGGTTCTACATCAGATAGTAACATATAGTAGTCATTTCTAATTACCCTTATAACATTACACTAGTCTTCCTAGAGGACACACGAAGTCCTCCAAGTGGAATGATGGAGTAAATGATCTTAAGCATCTAGAAAGTTTAAACTTCTGATTTCTCAAATGAGAAGAAAAATCCATGAGTCCCATGTTTGCCAAACTGTTTTTGAAGCATGAGATCCTTACAATGGGTCATGTCAAGGTTTCCAAGAAAAAAAAGCAAACAGAAAACACCAAAATTATCAGAGTACACTTCAAGTAGCCAAGTGTATCTTATTTTATAAAATGGTGTGTCAGCAAATATCAAGTATGAAATAAAATGTCTTCCTCTATGTTTTGATGAAACTCAGTGCAAAGTATAGACCTTGTCTATTTTCCCCCAGGATCCTGAATTTGAAAGATAAAATAAAAATCAACTCTCAGAGGGACCAAATAGTGCCCTTCAGTTTTTTTTTTCAATCACATTTGGTAGACTCTCACTACAAATGTGCCACCATACCTAGTCTCGGTTGCCAGCTCAACATGCCTGGGGATTGTGCCCGTGCATCATGTGGTACGAGAGACAAAACCCCAGTCTGTGTATTTGCCTAAGCAGGCACTTAGTCCACTGAGCTATCTCACTGCCCTCTTCAGATCCTTTTAAACAGCTTTTATTTTTCTTTTATTACTCATTCTTGAAAGTAAGTGCCTAAGTATGCATTCCATTTTCAATAAATGCCATCTATAGCTGTATCTATATGAATGTTTCTTAAATTTGATGTGGCAATTTGGAAAATGTTTACATGAAAAATGACTTATTCTGCAAATTCAACCTACTTAGGATTCAGCTAAATTTCATGAATTGAGTCAACCATCAATACCTAATGAGACTCTTGGAAAGTAATACTAACTTGGAAGTCAAGGGACAAGGGAAACACAAGCAATGTATTGGGCATTCTCTTACTTGGAAGATTTATTTTGAATTATTAAGCAACTGCATTATACAGGACAGAACAAAAAAACTTTTTTGAATCAGTGGAGTTACTTTCATCCTGGAACACAGAACTAAAATCAAAATGAATTACAAGTGCACACTAAGAAAATCCAAGAGTCCCTAAGTTGACCTCCCTGTGCTTTGCTTTGCATGTGAACAGAAAAAATATCATGAAGAGGTGCTTGTCTCTCCTAGATTTTCTCATTTGCAAAGCTTTTGTAGGCAAGCCATTTGCACAAGGAAGCAAAAGTGACAGTCTTTGATGTGCACACTGGTAAGAGGAGAGTTGATGCACTAGATGTTCATTTCTTTTGTTAAAGGAAACATCAGTACTAGTCTTGGGTTACATATTTTCTCTGTGCTGCTACTTATGCTAAGTTATCTATGCTTTTAACTGAAATTGTTAAAGCACAGAGGAAGTGTCTCCCATGAACTACATATGCAATCTTAGGATAAATAAATAACAAACCACAGCTTGTCTTTTAACGAGGATGTGTTTCTATTGTACTATTTTTCCTCAACTGTGAACAATGACAGCTAACAAGTTCTTAGTTTCCCCTATGTGTATAACCAAAAAAAAAAAAAAAAAAAAAAAAAAAAAGAGAGAGAGAAAAATATACTTCTACATTTGGAACTCAGATATTTTCATTAGCTTATGAAAGAGTAAGACAATTTTTCTATTAGTTTTCTTTACATAGGTTGTTGACTATCAACTGAACCTGCATCCCACTGTCTCAGCATCCCAAGTGCTTGGATCACATGTGTGTACTTTTATAGCAAGATTACTTCTGTTTGTCAGTATTAGAATGTAGGGCAAACAGAAAGTAAAATGCATGCTGCTTAGTATCTAATTAAGAGCTGTCATCTGAGACCTGGGCATTGTGGCCCACTTTTGTAATCTCAGCACTCTGGTAGGCTGAGGCGTGAGGATGACAAGTTTGATTTCAGCCTGGGGAACTTAGTGTCACAGCCAGATTCAGCCTCAAAATAGGTAAAAAGGACTTGGGATGTAATGCATTTGAAGGACCTTGGGTTCAGTGATAGCACTTCTTTAAAAAATGATCACAGATTTGATTCTTTTATTCATTGTTTCTTCTTGTTATTTTTTTAAACACACAGTAAATCAAGTGAAAACAGCATGGAACCATATATTACACCAAACAAACCAAACTAATAATGTGTTTATGGATCACTGTTTAGTTCTCATTATTTCAAATAGCATGGTTTCTGTTACCTAGAAACGCACCAGCAAGTTGGGTTTGTTCAGAGGATCTCAGGAGGGAGAACTCATACTAGCACTTGTATACTGAATTCTTAGCAAAGAATCTGAAATCTTAACAGTGGGGAGCTTTTAATCCATGGTAAACATTTTATGCTGTCTTATTTTAGTCTCTCCAGAAATTTCTATTTGTTCTGAATCTCCCCAGGTAAGTTTACACAGAGAAAAAATAATAAAATATGATTGATCAATCATCTTAATTGAGCAGTCAGAGAAAAAGCAAAACACACAGCAAATGAGAATTTGTACAAATAGGTGTTTCAAAATAGCTTTATATCTCCTTAACCCAGATACATCTGTGATAGAATGGTTCTTGTAGCTTCTCTTGAGCATGTGTGGAGCTCTCCTTCTAGGTGCCATTGTACAAGCAAGAGACAGAAGAGTTTGTCCTCTGCCCTCAGTGGGGCTTATAGTTCAGGGAAAAATTGGTGGCCATAATGACATGGTAAGTTGGAAACCATGCTGGGTGTAGGCAGTGCAGCACGAAATAACATGCATAGTTAAAGAATTGGAGTCCACAGTCATGCCCTTGAGCTCTCTGTCCTGAATTTTCTCAGTCATGGGTATATTTCTACTAACTGCTCCGCGAGTATATTTTCTGTTTCCTCTACTATGTCATTCTTTACAACAAATAACACTAGACTACTTCAAGAGTATATGTAATCTCTACCTTTGGTAAAATAATTTAATGTTTATTGGCTCTACATTGTCAATTTTTCTTGGGTTATAATACCTCACTTAGGAAGAATAGCTTACCTTGTACCATATTATTTGGACACTAGGCCAGCATCACTCTCAGTTGATAATATCTTAGCCTCAGCTTCTTGTTTCAGTGCAAAACCAAATTTAAAAATATCCCTGTTTACTTTACCAGTATGTTCATAACACGTACTATTTTTGCCATTGGAGTTGTATTTAACTCTTACATAGTTTTTCTGACTACTTGAGTAGTTTTGGTAGCATCACCATTGAGTTTTGCATTAGGCAGCGGAATATTCTTTTAACTTTACAACTTAGTATAATCTTGTTACTGATGATGAAAAAAAATCTAATGCACAAAATCAAAAGACAGCAGATATTGATATGTTATTATGGTCATTTTTGGTTTTAAAAACAAAATGTTCACTTACGGGAATACCAATTTCTCTATTAAATTAAATAAGCATTTGCATGGATTCTACGATTTCAATACTGTAAGGCAATCTGGAGTTAATTTCCTGCGCAAACTTCCTCCTCATAGTAATTTTCTGAGTTTTCACTATCCAGTCATCACACAGTCTAAGTAAGAAATGATCTCAAACGTCTGAACTGTAGCACAAAACAACAGGCACTGTAAGTTTGGGGAATAACAAGAGCAGCTTAAGCAGCAAATGTCAAAGAGATCTCACCGACCTGATGAAATATCGATGGGGCTCATCTTGGTCTGTGTGACGTTGATGCGGACACCCACTTTGCTGTCTGTGAGGTCAATCTCCACGTTGCCCAAGTTGTCCCCAAAATGACTGAACAGCAGGAGACCATCGGGGTTCCAAGTCCTAAACTGGAAACTGACTGAAAACAGGTCCTGTTCAGGCCGTCCGGGCACCTCCAGGTAACTGGTTGCATTGAAAAAGACAGGCACCGTGTAGGGCTCCACGCAAGAGAAACTCAAGTTTCCCTACAAAACAGAAAGAGACTGGCTTTGAGGCAAACGTGGAGCAAAATAAGCACTCATGGGAGAAAACTTTAGATAAAGTGTTCTGCAAGTCCCAAAGTGATGCCTGAGCCTGTGTCACACACACAGCACAACATTGCCACATGGTGCAGGGAACACACTCAACAGGAATCTGCTGGAGTGGGAGACCTGACATTGTGCAGCAGCCGATCACCCAGGCAAGGGACTTAAGGCATCGCTAGTCCTGAGAATGACAGTTGTCACCTGGATATACTGACAGCCTGTGTTTGGGGCTTGGATGTGGACCGGTGGACCTCGGGGAGACGGTGATACAGCACTCATGCTGGCTGTGCTGAGGCCGAGGCCAGCGAGGCTGCTGCTGCTTCTCTGTGACAATGTCAGCGTCCACCAGTACACAACACCTCTGAACTCTGGGATCCACTGTGTGCTTACTTAATAACTGTGTATTCGCTCGACATTTTGCAGCAAGTATCTTTGTGGGTTTCTCTGTGTAATTACTGTCTATGCATCACTATTAACCATTTACCATCTCGACAACTGATTATTTTTCTAACTCAGAACCTATTTCAATTTTTATGAGGTGTGTTTATATCATAATGCATTAATGCTGATGGACCTATCAGTATATGTGTCCTTCTGGTAGAAGCGGAATTTTAGTTACCCTTAATACACGCGTACATTGCAGTGCCTACCACCTCTTCCTTTAAAGATCTGAGATTCTACATTTGTTTCTAACGTCTCTACTCCAGCTTTAATATTTTAAAGAGCACAATTTAATGATATTTTAATCAGTTTGCAGTCTCGCTCATATTTCTGTACAGTATATACACATCTATGCATGTATATTAGAACGCCACATATATTTCACAGATGCCTACCTGTTCCATTTGAGCATATTAACCACCATATCTGAATTAATACTTAAGCTAAATTTGTTCTGCATCTTCGCAGAAGATTATTTTTAAAGGCTTTCTTTTTAACCAATGCAAAGATTTGCCTATGTATAATAGCTCAGATGCTAACATGGACCACATACTTATGTTTTGAGATCGTGTCTCAGAAAAAGTAGAGATTGTTTCTTAGTAATGTGGCTAACTCTGGAGTTGATGCACAAAGTGTAAGAGAGTTTGTGGGGAGATGGGGTGGCATGAGCACTGGGTTGATTTCACTGAAATATCACCTAGAATTTCTCAAAGCAAATTTGCTATATAAATATTTCCTCTGGTAGAGGTGCTTAATAAATGCCCTACTTGTCTTTGTCTTGCCTAGAATTTTCAGTATCCATGTATATTTTGATGCAAAAGTTTATTCTATATCTTCCCATACAATTATCAGTTAAAGTAGAATGTGTCTAGAAAGCATTTATATGTTACAGAATGTTTCTGGTATTTATTTACGTTTGAAACCACATTTACCACCAGATTCTGTTTTGCAGCTGTGGCTGACTTTGGAATGAGCCTCCCTAGCTCAACTCTCTGTAGTACTGAATAAATAAAACTCTGGAACAACCATGAGGTCCGGGCAGAGAGAACATTTTATCTCTGCTTACAGGTGCAAATAATGGAAATGGGATTATGACATTGGAGAGTCTGGGCTTATGCACCATTTTGTGAGGAAAAAGAAAAAAAAATGAGAAAGAAAAAGAAGGATTCTAGTGCCATTTCATCCAAAGTTTAAAATACAAAGGCTGTGTACATAGCATGCATGTATTTGTGTGTTATATATAGCAATTCTCTAGATAAAAATAACATTATAGAAAAGCATTGTAACCTTGGAACTCATGTATTATGAGTCCACGTTCTACAACAATGACACAAAATCACCTTGGAAACATTATTTCAGGTGAAACCTTGACTGTTCTCATCTAAATATCTTTATGTTTTTCTTGCAACATTTTTCTCACACGATCACACCCACTTACAACACGCCTGACCCACACTGTTGATGAATGAAGCTCCAAGTATATATCTCCTGTCTACACACTTCATGAGAAAATTTCCCCCATGCTGAATGTTTAATTGATGTTCATCTGCCATTATTTTACACTGTTGAACCCAACACATCCAAAGTGACACATTATGTAGCAGTAGCTATCCAACACCCCACACGTGACAAGGAATTCTGTGATGATTCCTGGGGGCCATGTTTTGGCTCTTACCACATTGGATGGCTCTAATTTCTTCCTCCTAGCAAGATCAGTAATATTGATTCCGTTGTAGCTCATGCTTTCCATGCAGCCTTTAAAGTTCTTTCTACTACTGGAACTCGGCTTTCCGGAGAAAGGTATGCCTCCAAAAGTTATCTAAAAATAATAAGAAATATTAACATCCATGCTGCATTACATGAATAAAAAATATTGTGAATTAAATCAAGATTAATTGTCTTCATCACAATCAAAATATGTGGACATTATGCTATCTTAGCTGCTAAATTTTCTACACATTACATTGTTATTGAAGTGCAACGTGAAATCATTAATTCTGATCATTATAACTTGGGCAATAAAGCAGGAACATTGCATATTACAACATAAGGGCATTTTATAAATTTTCTTGAGAAGGTTTTAAAAGATTTTATGCGATAAACATTTTTTCTAAAGTAGTGTTCCAAATATATTTTCATGTTTATCATTCAAAGGCATATTATCAATAAATGCCTCTAGAAGTTTTCTAGGTAACAAGCACTAGTATAAAAACTTGATAAAAATAAAGCCCAAAGCAAAGAATATTATATTTACTCTCAGCACACTCATTATGGTCTAATGACTAGTAGAGCCAAAAGCTCATTATATTTATTTCCAGTGCAGAAAATACTTAAAAATATTATTATTGTATTGATTAGGGACTTCTTAGGACTTACACACTATAAGCTGAGCAGTATATCCTTAAATATATTGTAGTTCTTCCAAATTGTACCCCAACTCTAACCCAAATACTACTTACTGTGTCCTGAGGCTATTATTGCTTATTGAAGGAGCTATGTATTTTTCTGTGTATCTTTGGTCCATTTAAAGAATTATGACCTCAAATGCTTATAATGCAATATTATAATTAATATCTGGATTACAAGAAATGACATTCTATTAGTGTATTAATAAATAAATGCAACTATTAATCACAATTATAACACTGAGATTCATAATTCATATTTTAGTTCTCTTTAAAACTTCCCCAATGGGCCAGCCAAATAGCTCTGTGGATTAAAGTGCCTGCAAGCAGGCTCAGGGGCCAGGGATTCAATCCCCTGGCCTGCTGTGCTGGCCTTGCCCCTGGGTCACACTACACAGGGATTAAGACTGGGCATGGTAGTGTGCACCTGTAATCCCAGCTCTTGGGAGGCTGTAAATAGGCAGATCACTACCAGTATAGTGTAGGAGGGAGACCCTGAACACCCTGTAGACACTTCCCTAAAATACAAAATAAATAAATAAATACATACATATGTAAATACATAAATAAATAAAAAAATTCCTCAATGTTGTCATCACCAATTTTTCTTTTACATAATTGAAAATAAAAGCAATAGCTCGAACATTTTTAGAAGTCAGGATTTCATGTTCAAAACATAAAATATCTCTGTGCCTAGGTGGATCACATTCTATTATTGAGTGTCATGGGATTTAAAATGCTTAATTAGTCTTAGGGAAAAACACAAAGTAATTATTGCCTATGAAGCAGTAATAAAATGCAAACAAATTAAGTATTATTAATCATGGTTGGCTCTACTTATTTTTGACACAGTTCAGAGACAATGGAGGGGTGAGAAAAATAAAAATATAAGAAGGATTAAGAAGCTGTTAAAGGAGGAACAGAATTAGTTTAAGATGACAGAAGTGTTGGGAAACTGTTCTCCAGTGAACTGAGTTGATCTTACCTAAAACTCCGTACTTGACCCTGATACCAATGATAATAGTTATTTTTTAAATAATTTTATTGACAAACACATAGCAATAAGACAGCTTTAAAACCAATTGGTAGGACATAGTAGTTATTGATACTAAATGGAGTTGCTATACTTCCTGTTTGCATTTTTTTCAACTATTTCTTTCAGACCCCATATTAAAGAAATATGGTTTAGCAAATGTAGTATCATATTATGAGAAATATTACTAGACAGTGATTTTAAATTATGCCTCTGTGTGCATAATTTCTTTAATTGGAGGCTTTCATTTTCCTTGGGTACAATTAATCAAATGATCTTTTTTTTTTTTTTTTTTTCTTTCTTTCTGCAACCCCAGGCATGGGGCCTAGCCCATGGAGGAGAAAAGGGCCTACTTATCAGATTCCTAACAATTAAGTGGTTTCTGATCTCAGTTCCTTATGGAAATAATCATGTGACATTGCATTGTTGCCTGGTACTCCTAGTGGCATAATCCCACTGGGAAAATGAAGTAGTTAGTATGCCACATATTTTTGTATATTGTAATTATTGTAAGCATAAAGGAATGTTGAGTTTGTAAGATCATTGATGTTTCTTACATCTCTTATGATAGTCCTCTTAACAGCATCCTCATCAAGTAAACTTGCATTGAGAGATATTACCACAGTCACAATTTCATTAGCCAGAAAGGACTTAGAAAGTACAGCACAGGTCAGTAGATATCGCTAAGTGCTTTCTTTAGGGAAAAATAGTGCTTTGCAGCAGCATATATTCCTACCACTTCAACAGAAAGTATTTGTCAATCTCTTTGAAATTTAATCTGGTTTCCTGATATCTAAATGGAAGGACTGCAGGACTCAAAGAACTGTCCCTCACGCACAAGGACATAGTCTTCTTCATTCTCTGTTCCTCTTTGCTGGCTGGAAAGCACACTGAAATGTGATCAACCTTCTCTGATGGTGAACTGCAACCCAGACAGAGCACCGGCAAGATAAAAGGTAACTGGGCTACCTTTTTAAATTTTTACCAGCCAAAGGAGTCTGGATTCCCTTAATATTAGAAGAGCTAAACATGCTTGTGTTATGGTTCTGACGTGGGCAAGGGAGAGACTGGGAAAGCAGAGCTTACAACAGACAATGCTGTAGTATCTGGAGTAGGGTTATCCTAGAGCTTGCAGATCAGACAAAGGCCAAGCTAAAGACCAGGCTACTGTCCCGCCCTTTGGTTTTGTTGGCTCAGAGTTGGGAAATGAAACAGAGCCCGTCTGCGTCACTATATTTGTTCCAGACAGCCATGTAGCTAATGGTTTGATTGCAAATGGCGAATGAATCATTTTATGGTGTAATAAGGGCATGAAATCAACTCTTAGGCCATCTCCCACTAAAGATTCCAGTACTGTATTACATCAAAGGTGCCAGAGCATGCATTCTTGTTCATGAGAACTGATTTTAAACAGTTGGTTTTTAAAATCAGTCTGTAAGATTTGAAAAAAATAAAGTACAGTAAGCAGAAAATGAATACTATTCGGAAATCATCTGTGCATTTGCTATGTTGTGTGCTGTCAAGGTTGTTTGTGCCTACTGTGTCTATATGATGTACAAAGTACATGGAGAACTAATGGGAAACTCCTTCCAACCCACTGCTCAGTGCGATCTAGTTGGTAACAAGAAATCAGCCATTGTGGGGTATTTACACTATGAAAATCAAGGAATGCTGTAACCAGGGCATTCTTCTCTTTCCAGTTTCCTGTCAGGCATTTACCAGCACATCCATACCCTTACATCTCTGTGACCTCAGCCCTACCTCCCCACTTCTGGAAAAAAATGAAACAGCGTCATTTCAGGGAAGTCAGACACCACACCTTCTAACTTTGTGAAGAAAAGGCCAGGCTTCTGAAACGCTCAGCAGACTTGCATACGTAGGGTGAATGTTACATAAATGGTGTTATTTTAGGTTTCAAGCTAGTTCTCAGGCAGCCTCTGAGGTATGAGTCTGGTTGCTGCACAGACACGTGAAGGAGACAGGAGTGACCACAAAAATGACTCTAACATAGCTCCAAGTTTCCTTCTAAAAGAAGGGTCTCTACATTAAGAGGAACACATATAAATAAAAAGGGTGACTCAGGTACACCTTTTACAGATCATGACAACAACCGTAAGATTTGAGAGGAGATTTACCAGGCAGCAGTTTTATAAAAAGGAAAAAATATTTAGTTTATCCTGATTCTTCATAAATTTTGGTGCCTCCCTCTAATAGGCATGTCCTGGAATTTGTCTATAGCTGACATTCCTGGCATGATATTGCATACAGAGGGGCTTCACAGGGCCTATGAAACAGTCAGCTCTGTGTGGAAAGTGTTGTGTGTCTATGAATATTCATGATTTTCATCACAAACCAGTAGAATCTATGACCTAAAGTGTCTAATTCTATTTTTTGAAAATTGGGGTTATGTTTGCCCAATGCTAATGTTTCAGAATTTCTCATCTGCTAGGATACTTCAAAGTTTATTAGTGAAAGATGAATAATTCATCTTTAAATTCTATCATAATTTAAATTGAAATTCTATCATAATTCATCTTTAAATTCTATCATACATCAGGAGTCAAGTCACAAGAGCTAGGACATATTCATTTACAGAAAACAGAAATTTCTGGGAGTCTTACATTCTTCCCCTCAATGTTTATCTTGCTTTGAAAGTATTTGGAGTACCCCAATTATTTATCAATATTATTAAAATATTCATCAGAGTTTACATAGCATATTCAATTCTGAATTCCTATTTAGGTCTACATATTTCATGCTAAACAAAATTTAGAAACAATTTAAGCATACAAATAAAATAGAGAACAAAGTTAAAAATTCTGAATTTCTCACTATTTTAATGGTCAGAAGCCTGAGTCTATCTGTAATGTCACCCCTGGGCAGCAGGACATATTGCACTGGCACTGCCCACCATGTGTGTAACATTTTCAAAGGAACCACATCAGCAGTGCGCAGCTCTTAGACAGAAGATGGGACCCTAGATTGATGGGATTTCCCCTCCAATATTTCAGCATGCTACATTCCTTCCAGTGATTTCCTGTGACACTGAGTTCATGGTCATTCTTCTGATAAAAAGCATTTTGTGTAAGGATCATTATATAAAGCAAATAAATAAATAAATAAATAAATAAATAAAACAGTAGAGAAGATAGCAGTGTCCAGTTTGATTCCAAACTCTGAGGTGTCCAGGGCAAATACAGTTATCCTATTATCAAATAATTACTATTACTTAAATTTTTCAATGAAATGAAACTATACAGCATGTTTTTGAAATGGCTGCTTGATTATTAAGCTTTACTTTTATGTTGTTGAGCCTGATGACCTATAACCACTATGGAAAAATTACTAAGACCCTAAGAGTTTCATGAACTCAGAAAGCTTGGAAATCTCTGGATGAATAATATTCTGTACTTTTTTATTAGTACATTGCTCTTTTGTCTTTTGCATTTTCCTATTACAAATAAAATTATGATGAATGGATCCATAAGAGTTGTGAGCCCTATATGTGATTAACAGTTTTGATAGACAATTTAAATTGCTCTCCAAGGAATTCATTAAGAAATTCAATGTCTATTAAAATGTTATAAGAATATTGGTGTATTTGCCTATATGTGTATATATGTAGCATGTGTATAGCTGTAATCTCAGATATTATTTTTGTTTTTTTAAAGGTAAAATGTGTCTTTTAATTCACGTACAAACTTTTACAACATTCTGAAGGGCCAAGGATATAGCTCAGTGGAGTGGCGCCTGCCTGGCAAACAGGAAGTAGTGAGTTTGATTCGCAGTACCAAAAATAAATAAATACATGAATAAATAAAATGTTCTGAAATTTAATTTGCTTCCTTTGTAATTATATTTAAGAAAACAGGATTTGGCAAAACACCTACCTACAGTCACGAATTTATAAGTGACATCATACAAACCAGTAATGAGGGTTCTTATACTCAACACTTTATAATAAACTCTGGACGGCACTCTATATAATGTATTGGTGTTCCTCAAGGGGAACAGGTGTAATTAACTGCCAGCTGCGATGGCCTGGATGTTGAGTTCCCAGCAGGAAAAGGCTATTTCCCAGAGTGGTCTTGCAAGACAATGTGGAACATAAAGTTGTGGTTTCAGTAGCAGGAAAAAGCACAGAGGCGACACTCAGGATTTGGAGGCTGATTTACCATGTGCATATTCACTGAGAGTGATCAGGCCCTCACCTCCGGGGATCTCGGGCTTCTATGGGATAAGCAAACAGGAAGTACAGAGGCAGAATGGCTTGTCACCTGGGGGACTGGTTTCTACACCAGGCATCACAGTGACCAGCTGTTTCTAAGAGACCAGCAGCCATAGAAGTGGAACAGGAACTGTTACCTGGGCAACTAACAAACTGAAGTGTACTGGGCTGGGGGGTGATTTTTTTCTACAGGTTCAGTGGGAGGTCCCTAGGTCCTTGTAGATATGTCCTTACAGAGATTAA